AAAAATCTGTTCGCTAATCTTTTTAGTTCTAGGGTTTTATGTGATGCTAATAATCATGCCTACAACTTGCACAGATTTAGTGAAGGCATGAATCACAGAGCAATTATATCTTACTGAATTGAAGAATTTGTATGCGAGCCAAAGTACTTAGCAGTTCCTGCTGTAAAAAGTAATACAAGAATATGGTATAGTGTTTCCAGATGCAGTTCTATTACAAGCTGCACCAAGAGAAATTGAGGAGATTTTCATATTTTTATATTAAAGCAAAGAAGAAACTACTAGTGTGAGAATGGTCTTAGCCACAAAGACTGAGGCAAGAACAACAGAAGTGTGATGATTAAATACGGAAATACAGAAAATATTTAAAACTACTCTGCAGTGATAAACGTGTGTGTTTGCACCTTCATATTTTGTGAAACATGCACAAATACTTGCACCTGCAGAGTGCTTCATCCATACTGCACAGATTGTAATGGTTGCCCCCTCTCAGTGCTGTCTGGCTCTTTATCACTGAGTGAAGATCTAGTGCCTCCAGGGACAAGCTGTGTCACAGGAGCTTGTGCTGGCCCCATCCTGCTGGTGGGGATGGGAAAAGGCTGCTTGGGGCTGGGGGTGCAGATGGAAGAGCAGGGCTGGTAAATGCTGGGCTGTATCACGTGAGCCCTTGGGGAAAGAGGGCAGCTGGCACATGTGCTTCCTTGCATTTGACTTTAAACTTTCTATTTTGGTTTTCTAGTGATAGTCAGGAGCACCAAAGTTAGCGGATAGACCAAACCCTGATTACAACTCACTCTGGTCTGAAAAATCTGTTTGGGGACTACAATTTCTAATTTGCTGTGGAAACAAATAAAACAATATTTCCAAGTTTTCTAACTTGGGGTAGCCCATATAGGCAGGACTGGAGCATAAGGATGGTGAGAGATGCCACGTGCGGGGATATTGCTATTTAAAAAGATAGTCCTGACTTGATCGAGTAGCATTGACAAGAGTGCTGCTGTTGAGCCTTTTGGAAAGACTTCCTACTTCAGCCTCATCTGGCAGAGGTCTAGCATAGAAACTAAGATGTGGTGATATGCTGAGGAAGCCAGATGTATAACTTGCATGCAATGTGACTTACTTTTCCTACGACAAGGTTACCTACAAGCAAACATCCAAATGAAGTTATTAAACCTCCTAACTGTCAAGTCAGTTAGGATGTTTCCCTAAACAGGCTTAATCAGAATCAATTTTCACAAGATTCCTCAGGCTCAAGTTTTTAAACTAAAGCTTAAGTTTTAAACTGTAGTTCTTTCACAGTAGCCTAAAAAAATGAAGTACTCTGCTGCTACTGCTTCAGTTTCCTCTATCTAAAAGTTGTAGGAAGTAAGCTTGAAGAATCTGCAGAGGTTGTCTAGTCTGGCACACCTGAAGAAATTTAGCTAATGCTTTACTCATAACCAATTATGTCCAACTCTTTGGACTTCCCAGATTAATGAGTGGAAGGAGCTTGTTCCATGCCTCATTTGCAAATCCATGAGTCTGTGGCTCCTTTTGCAGAAGTTAAGCGGAGGACTCCTGAGCTGGCCAATTCCCTGGCCTCAGGCAGAATCGATTCTGGATAAATATTTCCTGACAGGTGTCTGTATAATGTGTTCTTAAAAAATGCCAGTGATAGGGGTTGCAAAATCTCTATTAGGAAATTTATCATAATACTTAACTGTACTTAGTACTGGAAATGCTTTTTTTCTTGATCTCCAGTTCACATCTCCCTTGCTGCAATTTAAGTCTGTTATTGCTTGGCCTGCTGCAAGGGACACAGAAAAAGATTAATCTCTTTTCCCTACGAGG